AATTAATATTACGTAAATATAATTATAAACATTATGTGAATATTACTAGTTAAAATCAAAAAAAATACTATTTGCTATTCATTGATAATTCAGACTAAATTTAGAAATCAGTCAAAAACTGCCCATTATATTTATAACCAATTTATAATAGATTAGAGTTAAGTCAAAAATCAACTCTGTTTAATCTAATAGAACAATGCAAAAATTGTCTGATTGGAAAAATTATCTCAAGATACGATAGTGAATAATCATTTCAAATGAAACAATATAATCATCATCCTAAAAAAACAATTCAATATCATTTCAATCAGATGATACAAATCTGATAGGAATGATTAAAAAATTATCCTAAAGAGATGATGAACTATCATTCTTAAAAATTATTGCAAAGAGATAATACATCATTATTTTTATTAAATGATCAAAAAAATAATTCTAAAGGAACTATAAATTGATCATTCATTAAGAACAATTAAAAATCATTTCAAAGAGACGATGAATTATCATTCTTATTGAATAACTAAAAAATCATCTCTTTAGGATAATACATTACCATTCTTATTGAACAATTTAAAAAATCATTAATATATCATTATTTTTTAGAATGATGAATATTCTATAAGTATAATAAAAATCATTTCTTTTAAAATGATTATTATTTGATTTGAATGATACAATATCATTCCATCAAATGATGCAAAATCAACTAATTAGAATGATCAAATTATCATTTTTTTAGGATAATACATTATTATTCAAATAAATATCATCATTTTAATCAGATGATAAAAAGTTATTTGATTGGAATGATTAAATCTTAGTCCTCTAAAGAATGATACAAATCATTCAATAGAAATGATATTTCAATTGAATAATACTAATTAGCTAGAATAATTATAAATAAATTTCAGATTAATCAAAAACTTTCAGATTAATCTGAAAATTTTTTTTCATTTTTTTAACCTTTTTCCTTTTTTTTTCAAAATTTTTTCTTAACTTGAAGATTCTTACAATTTTTTTCGGAAAAATTTTTATTTGAAAGTATAATAAGTCATTCATTCTTTAAATGAAAATTTACTATTTTATTTATTTTTTATTTTTTTTTTTTTTTTAGGAAAATTCTCATTTTAAAATAAGATAAGTAAATCGGAAATAAGTTTTGAGTAAACTTTCTTTCTTTTTCTTGTTTTTGTAAGAAAATTCTCATTTAAAAATAAATAAATCAGAAGCAAGTTTTAGATAGATTTTTTTTCTTTTTCTTGTTTTTAAAAAATTTCTCATTTTGAAATAAGAAATATAAATCAGAAATAACTTTTAGGTAGATTTTTCCTCTATTTTCTTTTTTTTAGAAAATTTCTTATCTTGAAATTAAGGTAAGCAAATTGTTAATAACTTTTTTGATAAAAATTTACAATTTTTTTTTTTTTTATTTTTTTTTAAAAATTTCTCATTTTAGAATTAAGGTAAGCAAATTATTAATGACTTTTTGAATGAAAATTTATTATTTCTTTTTTTTCTTATTTTTTTAGAAAATTTTTTAAGGTAAACAAATCATTAGTATTTCTTTGAGTAAAAATTTACTATTTTTCTTTTTTTTTCTTTTTTTTTAGAAAATTTCTCATTTTAGAATTAAGATAAGCAAATATTAGTGACTTTTTGGATAAATCTATCATTTTCCTTTTCTTTTTCTTATTTTTTTTTAGAAGATTAATAAATTGAAATTAATTAAATTTGTTATATTAGTTCTGATTTGTGATTTTAGCTGATTTTAGATGGTTGAATTAGGTTAATTTTTGGTAAACTATGTTCGATTTGTATCTGATTTATGATTAATTTATGATTGAATTGTAGTTAAATTACGATTGATTTTAAGTAGTTGAATTAGAATGATTTTTGACTGAATTGTATATGAATTGTGACTGAATTTAGATTGATTTTAGGCTTAATTTTTAGATTGAATTATATTTGAATTATTACATTTGAATTAGTCCTATTGGTGCTAAATTGTACCAATTGGAATTTGACTAAATTCATTACAATTTAGCTATAATTCAAACTAAGGTTGCTAGATGAAATTAAAAGTTTAGATAAACGTCTAAATAGTAAAAGTAAACCTGGTTAAATTATATTAAAATCTTATTAAAAAATCTGCGAAATTTGTAAAAAGGTAAAACTATATCAAAGCTTATAAAAATAGCAAAACTATATTAAACACTTAGTAAAAATTTAGCAAAACTAAAGGTTTAACTGTTTTGCCAAATCCAAAATGAGTTTAGACAAGCAACCTTACTCTATACTAACAGATTTTTCATTATGTTCATCAAATGTTTATATATATCTTCATGAATTCTCAGTTTTATATTATTAGCTAACAAATTTAATTTTACAAGATTATCCCTTGTTATCAAGTAAGAATGACAAGGAAAATTTGAATTGGTAGATTTATAAGTTAAATAAAAAGTTATTGCTTTCAGTTAATCTGCAATAATTATAGAAATGCGTGAGCAAAACCAGTTCTATATTATTCATTAAATAAATAAGTTCTAATATGTATTTTAAGAATTTGTGAAAGATTTCACAAGTCAGATTTTTACCAATAGAAGATTCTAATATTAGTAAATACCTTAAAAGTTGCTTTGCATCTGATTTATTATAATGCTATATTAGTATATTACCAAATAATATAAATATTAGATGTAACTAACTTTTTTCTAATATATCAATGGTTATAACATCCAAATATAAATAATTGATAATAATTTAACTCTATAAGATATGAAAGCTTTTATAATTTTTCACTATAATCCATTATTTTGTTCTTTATATATAGATACTATAAAATAAATAAATATATATATTAAAATATAAATTATAAATATTATTGGATAATTAAATTGTGTGTAATATTAATTTTTTACTTCAAAATTTTCATAAAAAACGTCAAATCTTTCATTATATCAGAAATAGCCAAGATATTTTTAATACAGCTTATTAAATCCTAGTAATGAAGAAAATATTTTTTATCATTATAAAATACTATACTAATTTTTGAAAATTCCAAATTTGAAAATTTATCTTATTTATGAATGTTTATCCTTTTTCGATGTTTTTTAGCAATGAAAATTTCGAAAAGTTTGAATATTTGTATAATTTCATTAGTAGCCTTATTATTTAATTATTTTTGTTACTAATAATATCAGATCTTTGTAAACTTCATTAAAAAATTCTGTATAAATTTCACTTTCAAGATTTTCAAATTCTTCAAAGATTTCTAATTCCAGTTCTTCAAAACTTTTAGATTCTGATCTCTTTTTATAGTTTCTTATTAAAATTTCAGAAAGTAAATTACTTTGTATACTTTTAATACTATTAAATAATATTTCAATTTCATCTTTTATCTAAAATTTATTGTTATTTATTAATTGAAGGCAAAACACTTTAATTTTATGAATTTAATAAAAACTTGTATTAAAATAATTTTTATTATTGATATTTGCCATTATATCTTTTATAAAATTTATTTCATTATTGCTATCTTGCTTATGTAAATCAGAATTGAACTCTATTTCTGTTTTTTTAAGCATAATTGAACATGTTGACTATATGCAGAACTTAAACTAAATGTTTATTTATAAAAAAGAACATTTAAAATTTATATTACTTGATATATGAAAAGCGGTTAGTAGAAAAGGAGAAAATCCAAAATTTTTGTTAATTTTTATTATTAAGCTAAATTTGTTCTATATTAAGATTTGACTTTAATGTTGATTACAGTTTTTGTTTTATTCAAGCAAAATATAGACTAACTTAAATAATACTTGTAAATAATTTGTAAGAGAAGAGTATAATATAAAAAATTATATTAAAGGGAATATAATATAAAAGAAATACATTAAAAGAATGTATTATATAATAGAAATACATTAAAAAAGTGATAGGAAATATAAATAGTGATTTGTAGATAATTGTTAGAAGTATAATGGTAAAATTCAAAGACAATTTCATTTTTAATAAAACTTACTCAATTGCTATATTATTTAAATATTAAGAAAGAGAATAAATTTTGCATCATATAATACATTCTATTGAATAATTTAATATTGAAACTGATTGGCCTATTTAAAAAATTGATTAGTATCCGGGTCTTATTCAATTTGTGAGTAGTCAGCGCTTCAGATAATAACTGATTTGGTCAACCTCGCGCATTTATAACATAAAATGCAAGTAAAAAAATTGTCATAACGAATCACCAATTCCGTTATAAGTCGTAAGCAATGTTTTGTATATTGTTATATTATAATAAATGAACTTTATGAAATCAATTTGCATCAAAAATGTGTGTAAAAGTTGTAATGTGATATATTTATAATGAATAAAAAAAAATAATGATGTGTTCACTTTAGAATTTCATTAATAAACCCATCAATATATATATTTCTAACTATTTTTTCATGAAACCTATTTTGCTACGATGTAATATTAATATTAATTAAATTACATAAAAAAAGAAATTTAGCATTTGTATAATGGTTTCGGAATTTGATTTTCTTTTTCAAAAGAACAGAATGATGCCTACAATGTCCGACAAAAACCAGTAAAGAAAATATAATAAAAATATATCTGTGAACAACGTAATATAATAGTTAAAGTATTGTCTATTAAAAAAAGTTTTATCAAAATAAATAAAATATAATACGTACAAATATGATTCCACTAATATATATGAATTGTTAAAAGAATTCTTTACAACTCTGCAATAGATTTTAAAACTTCTTCATTTTCCTTTTCCTTTTGCTTAATTTTTTCTTTTAATTCCTCGGTTTCCTTTTCTAAATCTGCCTTTTCTTGCTCGAGTTTAGTATTTTGACGTTCGACGTTTTCGATTTTGATTTCAGCCTCGCGAAGTCTATAAAGAAAAAAAAATTAACATCATAAGTAAATTAGAATAATTTAATAATGAGTTAAGGAAGATGAATTTATTTTAAAAAATCTTAAAAAACTTACTTTTCCGTGGCCTCTTTGAAACCCTTTTCAGTTTCATCTAAATCCGATTCAAGTGTACCAACTTTCCTCTGAAGCATGGTAATTTCTTGATCCTTTGCCGAAATGTCTTCTTCATTCTTTTTCTTTTCTTTATCTAACTCGATAATTTTAGCTTGAGCAGCCTCAAGTTCACCGCGAAGAGAGCCAATTTTCTATTATTGAAAATTGATATTTATTAGAATATAAGAGTATAAATAGAAACTATTTTCAGAATAGAATATTGACACAATAGCATTAACTCATAAAGAATAAAGAGAGGAAGTAAAGTTATAGATTTCCCAAACATATAAAATTATATAAACGTAAATCTCCTTTATGTATTACAACACCACTGTCCGCTACAATATTCATTTTGACATCTACAAACTAAAACCCTTGATGCTTAAAAAAGTATAACAACCAACCTCTTTGAATTTATCCATTATAATTTTATTTTCGAGTTGTTAACAAGTTTATTAAAAGAAAAAAAATATATATTACGGTAACAGTTGTTGCATTGGTATCCAAATATATGAAAAAAAAAATCCAGATAAACTATAATGCTGGTAAACGTATGATTATACTTTTAACTACGTATTACAATATTAATAATACTTTCTAAAGGTACGTAATTGCATATTTATGCTGTTTGTGATATAGTTTTTATTATTTATTTATTTTTTTTTTTTTAATAGTTTAAAGATCAATAAATTAATTAGATTATTTGATAATTTAATTAGACCATTTTAATCTTAAATCTTAATATCAAAAATCAATCGTAAATACTAAATATAAAAACATAATTCTTTATTAAAACATAAAAATAATTGATATAATACTTTATATTATTTATTTATAAATGGGATAATATTATTAATATATTATCAAAAATTAAAAATAATATGATATTATTTATATATATATAGTAAAAAGAAAAGATATATTTGATTTATAAAATATTATTATTTAAATTTTTTATGTAAAAATCTTATTTTAAATTTATTATAGTAACAATATCGATTCGATGCAGAATTCATATCATTTTTTATATGATTAGAATATGGATTCTACATCAAATCAATATCGTAACGATATATATTCAATATCAAATCAATATCATAATGATATATATTCAATATTAAATCCATATTGTAATGATATTGTTACTATAATGAATCCTTATAATTACGATATAATAAATGATATAGAATCCATATCATTATGATAATGTTTTGATATCAAATTCATATCATAATGATATAGATTTGATATTTTTGTAGATCTATCATAATAATATTACATCGACCTCAATTAAATATCATTAACCATATTGATTCGATATCATAACGATATTGAATCAACATCGAATCGATAATAATGAATCGATATCAAAATGATATTATTGCGATATCAAATTGATATTGTTAGAACTTTAAGGATTTCTGTAAAGTTATTGACTAACCTGTAAAGATACTGTAAGAAGTTTGTTTTGTGCTAATAAATCTCAAGAAAATTCATTTTTTGCTAAAGAAATAGCATCATTTACTATACTTCTTAAAACATCCTGTTCAATCTATGGGTTATCCTCCATAGCTTGATAAAATATAAAGAAAGCGGTAATATGTTCCATTAGGGAGGTAGTAAGAAAATTATAAATTTTACCAGCTAAGCTGTTAGACATGTTTACGTGAAAAATAATATTAGTTTTATTAGTGTATCAAAAATATTAAGTGACAAATATCTAAAAATTTCATATACTGCCCTTTTAAATGACTTTATTTACGTTCTCTTTGGGCTTGTATTCATGTTGAGGAAAAGAAACAGGAGATTATGCAATAGACCCTTATACCAAAATTTTGCGTTAAAGAATAAGAATATGTGAAAATATGCATTAAAGATTTCAACATTTAGAAAGGTGTTGGGGTAATGCATATATAGATTTTTTTGTCTGTTCAGATTAGGATAGATTATCTCCTACAGGTTTATGACTGAAGAATGGTGAAAAAATTTGTGAAATTATTTTGTCACACAAGCAGAAAGTCGCACTCACACAGATGATTGGTAGTGTATTTCACAAGCTTTAACTGGGATCAGGAACATATTTATATTTGTTGCACATGTTTTACATACTATTGGCAAGGCACAGGTAAATATGAAGCTAATATAATATACATTTCCTATATAGAACTATTTTTTATTTATGTATCACTTCGATTGTATTTTAAAAAATTTATAGATGGTTTTTCCTCTGCAGGTGATATATTATTTCTACTGATTAGCTCTATATTTATAAAATAATACTAGATATGATATTAGGAAACATTTTAAGCTGACTCATTTGCTCTTGGAATGCTCTATCTCTATACCACTGATTACTATTAGGCAAGATATTAATATGCAAATTGAGTTATACTAATATTTTCATTCTGACTACTAGTGTACTAATTGGACTGTTTTTAGTATCAAGATAATTTTCAGAATTCTGTGCCCATTTTATCATAGTATATCAATTTGGTATATAACTTTTTTGTTGTAATATTTTTCTAGCATAAGCAAAGAGCATCCAACCTAATCGGCATAATAATTATTTTTTCTCTTCTGCTCAAGTTTTAGCTATATAAATAGTATGACCATATTGTGAAAGAAATTGATCAACTTTCCCATTATATTTTATTAATTTTCCATTAATATAATAATAAGCCTCATTACAAAGAATATTGCCTAAATATTTCTACCTGTCAAATCTGTCAAGAGTACCATTATTCCTCACTGCCTTTCAAACTTGTTTTACTAAAGATTTGAGTCTCTTCTTATATTTCTGTAAGCTTGCTAGATAACTGTTGCATAGAAATTTTTAAAGCTATAATTAGCCATAAGGCGCTTTGCATAGTATAAAAATTCTCATGATCCTCATGATTGCTTTATTGAATGAATTTCCTCTTTTTCTCAAAAAAAATATATTGTAACTTTTTTTGGCAAATTTCAGCCAGACGTCTGATCAAAATCAAGTGTTTTATTTCTTTTTCACAAGTGATATATTCAGTAGGCGATCTATACAAAAAAAAGAAAGGATCAATTTATTGTAGTATTATAATAAATATGTAATATACTATTTTGGTAAAGAATCTATAGTTCAGAAAACTTGTTGTATATACTTACAATTATTTTCGAATCTAAGAAATCTATACTATTAAATTTTCCCTCAATAGTGAAATATCCAGATTTATAATAATCAATTTCTAGCGAATTGCATGAATCCATTCTGCCATGTGATTTGCACATCTCATATTGTGCATATTCTGAACCTTTAACAAAGTTTACATTGCCATTAGTGATAACTGACGAAATTACCTTTCTTAATATGACGAAATTGACGAAACCAAAATGACGAAACTAGTTTTTTATTAATGATGAAATTATTTTACTTAATTGCCAAAATTATATTTAACTTGATCTAAATTCCTTAAATTAAAATACATTAAAAAATATAATAATTTTATATTTATTCATATAAAAATATTAAAGAGACGAAACTTTTGACGAAATTACAATTTTTCAAAAAAGAGTTTAGTTAGGTATCACTAATTGCCATTGTTAAGGTATTTGGCAATACATTAATATTCAGGATTTAATAGCTACTTTAACATATAAGATCAACTATTATATTTAATAATTCTATAGCCTTGTAGATGTAATTCTATAAAAGCAACTATGTATGCTATATTATTTAATCGTTCCCATAACTAATCTCTCTTCTTTTCTGCCTAGCTTTATGGATCATAATGATTATATAATACAGGAATATACTAATCATGTTCAGATACGTCTTTAGCTTCAATTCTATCTCCATAATTATATCCCACCCGATTATAATATATATACTGATTATTAGAAACTCTTATTTTGCAAGGAGTTATATTTAGAAACTTCTTTTCATCAGGAGTATCATTTCTCACCATATATAGGGCATTTAGGGGTTCTGGGACAGCTCTCAAATCCGTCTATATATCCAGTTTGCTATATGATTTCCAATATCAAATTCAAAGCTCTAGCGCTTTTTTGACTCAAATATAGATAATGTTATCG